AGTTACTCTGTTATTGATTCCTTCTAGTGTATTTTTCATTTGTTATTGTGCTGTTCATCTCTTTGTTTGTTCTTTAGTTCTTCTAGATCTTTGTTAAACATTTCTTGTATTTTCTCAATCCGTGCCTCCATTCTATTTCCAAGATTCTGGATCATCTTTACTATCATTATTCTGAATTCTTTTTCAGGTGGATTGCCTATTACCTCTTCATTTATTTGGTCTTATAGGTTTTTACCTTGCTCCTTCATCTGTGATGTATTTTTTTGCTTTCTCATTTTTTAAAAAAAATTTTTTTATGAGTGGGCTTGTATTTCTGCCTTACTGGTTGTTTGGCCTGAGGCTTCCAACATGGTAGTTTGTAGGCTGTTGGGTAGAGCTGCAGTTTGTAGGCTGTTGGGTAGAGCTGGGTCTTGGTGCTGAGGTGAGGAACTCCATGAAACCTCACTCCGATGAATATTCCCTGGGGTCTGAGGTTCTGTGTTAGTCCAGTGGTTCAGACTCAGAGCTCCCACCATAGGAACTTTGGCCCAACCCCCGGCTCGTGAACCAAGATCCCACAAGACACGTGGGGCGGCAAAAAAAAAAAAGAATAACAAAGTAAAAAATAAAATTAGGAAACTAACAGATATGTTAGAAAGGATATAAAAAAAATATAGATGAATCAACATCCAGAAGATACCTCAGTACCACAATAGTGAAAAAAGAGGAGGAGGGAAAAGGAAAAAAATTTGTTTAAACGGGAGAAAAGGCCTTGGCTGTGGAGGACAGGGCCTAAGGAAGGGCAAGGTTTGGGTGGTGGGCGGGGCCTATGTTTAGGACCCAGAGGGCTGGAAAAGGCCCTGGGGGCTGTGGGGGCGGGGCCGTTAGTGGGTGAGGCAGTTGCGCTCCTCTCCTCTCCTGCTCTTCCGGTCTGGGAGGCTCCCTCCCCGCCTGCCTTTCCTGATCTCCCCGCCTCCCCGCCCTCAGGGACGCTGATCCTGTCTGGCCTCTACTTCTCCTCCCGCCTCAGTCCCCCTGCGTCCTACTCGTTCACTTGGGGGTTCCTCCTGTCTCCTTGGGGTCAGAGCCCCCCACCAGCAGCCGGCAGGTGCCCTAGTTGTGGGGAGATGCTAACTCTGTGTCTTCCCACACCGCCATCTTGACTCCGCCTCCTCAAATTGATTCTTTTACTGAAAAAGGTTTCAGTCTTTAGTTTTGGATGCAGCAGATCTCATATTCAGATTGTCCACATACATTAATCCTCTAGGTTCATAAGTGGTCTCATGTCTGTAGATTAATATTAGTTAACCTCCTCAGAGTGAGCTTCATCTGCCTTAGTGTTCTGAGCACAATTTTTATTTCATTCACTTTAATGCTGCAGATTTTGCTTTCTTTTAAAATTTGGTGTTGTCTGGGAATTGCTTTATATTGTTTCTGGCTTCCTTATCCCTCATCCATAAAGCATTCCTGAACTGTACTTCTTGTACCTGAGGAATTTCTGCACATAGTCATACATGGACCAGCTGCCATTCAACTCTAGTTTTCAGAATTGCCAAAACATTGGGTATTTAAACCATTAGGAATTAGAAGTCCTGTTTTTAGATCTCTGTGGTAAGAGCTGCTCTTTCACACACATTTCAGAGATTTCTGTCCATTTTAATATTAAAGCTATTCCCTTAATTTCCATTTAGAAAAACACTTGTTTCATGATCAGACATTTGATTACTACTGAAGTCCAAATATAACTTCTATGAAATATAGTCATTTGAAGAAAATATTAACTCACTGAGGTAGAGGTTAATACTTTGGACCTTTCCTTTCTGTTTTAAAGTCATATTTGCTTTTCTTTCAAAAAAATAGTTTTGTTGTCTCTCTTCTATCTTTTTAGCCATGAATTTGACTCTGAACATGTTCCCGACCTGACAAAAGAACCCTACGTTCAGGACATCCATTCCGTGGGCTCCCTGTGTAAGCTGTATTTCCGAGAGCTCCCAAACCCTTTGCTCACCTACCAGCTGTATGAGAAGTTTTCTGTGAGTACAAGTAACTTTTAGGTCAAGTTCTGTTTGGAGTTTTGCTGTGGTTTTGTTCAAAATGTGTGAAGATTGGTTTGGTCTTATGAGATAGTTGTATGAGGAAGAGGGGTCCTTTAACGAAAATAAAAACACTGTACTGCTAGCTGGTCCACAGTCTTCACTGTTTTCACGTTTTCACTCTTTCGGTTTCTGACTTTGAGCCACTAATCTTATAACCCTCGATACTGGTTATCATAAAGTTTTAAAAATATTATCTTTTAATAGATTTCAGTGTCCATATAGTGTGGAAACAAAGTTTACTTCCTTGAATACTGCATTGTTTTTCCTCATAGTTCAGCATCAAAGAGTAAAGTCAATTAATCTCAAAGTGAAACTGAACTGTAAATGAAAAACTTTCATTTTTACCAACAAAGCCTAATAGTTTATTTTGCATTATGGCTGTTCTAGGATGCTGTTTCAGCAGCAACAGATGAAGAAAGGCTGATAAAAATTCATGATGTCATCCAGCAGCTCCCCCCTCCACACTATAGGTAAACCACATATAAAATACCAGCCAAAAGTAGAAGTCAGTTGTGTAAAAGTGGGTTCTGGGGCTTCTGTTTAAATTTACTTGGAGTTCTAACTATTTAAACTTCTGTTTTCCCATACATTTGTATTTATTTGTCTTTGTATTCTCAGGGTCTGGCACAGTGCTTGGCATCCAGTAGGCACTTAACAAATGTTGTATGAATGAATGAACAAATGGATGGTTGACTGGGCCTGTTTGTTCGTTTGTTTTTTGAGACACTGAGAAATTGCTGAAGGTAGTGGGTGTATGACCACAGGTGTGAATACATTGTGAATTGCTTTGCTTAAATCCAAAATATTGACACAGTGCTGGGTGCCTGTTTACTTGTTTACCCAGAAGATGACCCTTAAGGAATCTTCACTTTTTTAAATTCCTTTTTTCTTTTTGTTGTTTTATATGGGTGATTTCCATCGCTTTGTCTTCTAGCTCGCTAATCCATCCTTCTGCTTCATCCAGTCTGCTCTTGAATCCCTCTAGTATATTTTTTAGTTAGATTATTTTATTTTTCAGCTCTGTAACTTCTGTTTGGAACTTTCTTGTATTTTTCTCTTTGTTGAAGATCTCTCTGTTCATCCATTCTTTTCTCAAGTTTAATGAGCATCTTTATGACCATTACTTTGAACTGTTTATCTCTGTTTCATTAGCGTCTTTTTCTGAGGTTTTGTCTTACTCTTTCATTTGGAATATAATCCTTTTTCCCTTCGTTTTGCCTGACCCTCTGTGTTTGTTTCTACGTATTAGTTGAAACAGCTGTCTCCTCCAGTTTTGAAGGAGTGGCTGCTGAGAGATTGATGGGGCCGGGGGGAGGGGGGTCTGTTGTCTCTGCAGTGCCCTGGGGGTGATAGCCTGACAACATCTGTCTGTCCGATTATTTCAGTGCTCTGGGGCTCAGAAACGCAAAGCATTCAGGGGGTTGCTCACACCTTCCAGATCTGGCAGAGGTGGGGTCAGAGCTCAGGGAGGAGGGAGCTCCATGTTTGTCATATCCCTCCCACTTGTGGGCCACCTGCCATGGGTGGGGGTAACTGGCACGACTGCATCTTTCCCCTCCGCTCCATCCCAGTGGGGCTTTCCCACCCCGCTTTTTTGTCCTTTCTGTAGAAGAGCTGCTCTGCCAGCCTTTTAGGCCTTTTGTGGAGAGAGTCATCCTATGGGTATCTAGTTATAGCTTTGGTGTGTCCGTGTGAGGAGGTAAGCTCAGGATCTTCCTGCACCACCATTTTGAACCCTCTCTTTTGTTGCTGCTTTTTAAAACCCAATTTAATTTGTATGTTAGCTTCGACTCTCAGAAATACTTTTGCTATGTCTGAGAAGACAGAATGAAATGGAGGATAACTGCCGTTTAGTGAGAGAAAGAAAATGGCATAAATTATGGATTGATTATAGTATACAAAGAAGCAAAAAGATAAAATTTTAAAATTTCAGTAATTGACAAGAAATTAAATTCAGTAGATTTTTTTTTAATTCACAAATTAAGTAATTTAGTGCTGATCTTTTCAAAATGACATTGTTCATATATATATTTTTTAAATTGGCACTAAATTTGGCACTAAATCAACATGAAAATTTTCAATCAACATTAAAAATCAACACCTTTTTTAGTCAACTCTGTAGCTGTAAATGCCTGGTGGTCGAGTCAGGAGGTAACTCAGCATTGCCTTGTCCTGTTACTGTGGGCTGTCTTAGGAGGAATGTGAGAACTTTGAGGGGGTCTTAAGGACCCACTGAAGAGTGAAAAGAAACCTCAAAAGAACTTTTGTGAAGCAAGCTTAAGAAATTTAGGTGTTTAGCCCTTTAAAAGAAGGTTGAGAAGACAAATCTGATCAACACACAGTTATTAAAAAATAGTTTTAAGGGGGACCAGGGATTTCTTTAACTTACCGGAAAAAGAAACCTAGCGCAATAGGTTGAGAATATTGGCTTTCGTAGATAGACCCAAGTTTGAATTTCCAGCTTCATCACTTACTAGCTGTGTGGCCTCTCCAAGCATCAATCTCCATATATGTGAAAATACTAACAATACTAACAATGCCTTCTGAAGAGGATGCCTTTTAATGTAATGAGATTAAATGTGTGAATGAGTCTGGCCTTTAATATTTTCTTTAGTATAAAGCGTAGAAAGACAGATGATTAGATTTAAGCCGAGGCTTCTTTATAGTTTTACATGAGGTACTACGTGAATATCTTCTCTCTCTAAATTAAAATGGTCAATATAACTTATGTACATAGTTTTAAAAAGTCAAACGCTTATGCAAAGCTGGCAGCAAAAAACCAGCAGTCCTGGGGCTTTCCTGATGGCGCAGTGGTTAAGAATCCACCTGCCAATGCAGGGGACACGGGTTCGAGCCCTGGTCTGGGAAGATCCCACATGCCACGGAGCAACTAAGCCCGTGCAGCACAACTACTGAGCCTGCGCTCTAGAGCCCGCAAGCTACAACTACTGAGCCCTCATGCCACAACTACTGAAGCCTGCACACGTATCTAGCCCGTGCTCCACAACAAGAGAAGCCACTGCAATGAGGAGCCCGCGCACTGCGACAAAGAGTAGCTCCCGCTCGCCGCAACTAGAGAAAGCCCATGCACAGCAACGAAGCCCAGTGCAGCCAAAAATAAATAAAATAAATAAATAAATAAGTAAATAAGTGGCAGTCTCCTCTCCCCGTTCTAATTTCTCTTACCCAGAAGTTATTATTCTCAACTCTTACTTCTAGAGTTTACTCCCCTGTTTCTAAATAGCATGCTTATGTTTTTATTTCCTGATTTTTCATTTTTAGGTATAATTATTTGCCTTCATTTTGTGGTAAATGAGGGTGTAGCTATAACTCCCCATCCCCAACAGCACACAAACACACGGCCCCTTCTCTCCTCTTCCTAGTCTGGTTGTATCAGCATTTGGTGTGAAGCCAGAGTTTATTTTCTACGTTGTTGTAACTGCTTAACTGTTATTCACAGCTGCGTCTAATAGTATACTAGGATTTTATTTCCCTTTTGGGATAACTGTGTGTTTTCTTGGAGTGATGCCCTGTTTTTGGTTTGCTGAGTATCTGTTTATTGCTAGTCTGTCCCCTGTCTCTCTCACAGAACTGTGGATGTTCTCTTAGTTGTATTTAAACATATCAAGCAACCTTTTAAAAGAAGTTTTTCCCCATGAAAACACCCCTCCTGGTGCCTTCCGTCCCACTGCTCTGTCCGGGTTGATTGCTCCCTGGATCTCCACGCAGCTCCAGCCCTTCACCTTCCTCCTGGGAATTCCCTCCATCACTTTCTTCACGAGTTAGGTCCCTTCTCTTCTGGATCTCTGGCTGTCACCTTCCATGTTTTACTCCCTGCTTTCCTAGTGCACATCTTCAGTAGCTCTGTGAGAAAAGGTGTATGGGAGGTAAATGTTTTGAGACTTTGATATGAAAATGCTCTTATTCTCCTCAATATTTGACTGATAGTTGGCTATAGAATTTTAGTCTGCAAACAGTGTGTTCCCATACTTTGATGGTATTTTACACTATGGGCGTCCAAGCAGGGATGCTGCAGCAAAGTCTGATACGAGAGTGCTACTTTCTATATGATCTGTTTTGTATTGTGTATATCCTTTCTGGGTGTTTCTAAATTTAGAACATACCTAGTGGTCCATTTCCTTAGTGACTCATCTTGGAGTGGGTTCTTTTTCATTCTTTGCTCTGGGCACTCACTGGGCTTTTTTGGAAACTTCTGAGACATTTTCTTATATTATTTCCTTGATGGTTCTCATTGCAATGTAAACCTCATCCCTTTATTCTCTTTCTGGAATTGTTTTAACTCTTGAACTAACTCTCTTAGTTTCTCACCTTCTCTTTGTCAGTTTCCACATATGGGTTTCCTCCAGTCCATCTCATGATTAAAAAAAAAATTACTTCTGAGAACTAACTGCCCGCCTTCCCTTCCTCCCTCATTCTTGTTTCTCTGAATGTTTCTCCTTTATAGCATCCTCTTCTATTCTTATTTCATGGATATATCTCTTCCCTCTGTGAGAATATTATTGATAATTACAGGGTTTGTTTTGTTTTAAATTGTTCTCTGCTCATCACGGTACTTGTTTCTTCCTCATTTGGCGGCTCATCTTTATCAAGACTTTGCAGAGCATTCCACTGAGGTTTCATAGAAATCTTTCTAAAATTTTGTTTTATAAATGTTGATGGCATTTAACTTAACTATGAATTAAAATAACCTTGCATAAACAGTCATAGAAATACTTAACATTGGCTTTAGGTAAGCTTATAATTCAAATGATATTAGTCGAAGTGTTCAGTATGTTAGCCAGAGAAACTTACTGTGCCTTGGACGTTAATCATCGGTACGTTTTACAGAGGGAATTGAGAGTGTTATTGGTTAATCTTGTGGGTAAGTTAAGAGAACATCAGTAAGAAGAGTAGGAAGAAACCTATCATATATCATACAGAGAGAGAGTGTATGTGTGTGTATATAGAGAGAGAAAGAGTATGTATGTATATATCATGTATACATACATGTGTATGTTATATACATATATATGTATATATTTCTCATTTAGTGAAGTACAATTTGTTTGATTTATATTCCTTATATATTTATCCCCTGCAGTGTAGTACATTTATATCACCTATTATATATAATTTCTATATATTATAGAAATTATAGTGTAGGGCTTCTGGAGCCAATGGCCTGTGTTAGCTGTCTGACCTTGTGACCTTGGGCAAGTTCCTTTGCCTCTCTGGGCTCAGTTTCCTTGTTTGTAAGAGAGCGATAATAGTACTTTTCTCATAGGATTGTTACGAATATTAAAAGGAAAGCACTCAGAACAAGGCCTGTTAAATAATCACTATTTATATGAGTTAATAACCATTATTATTATCATTGTTATTGTCTGCTGTGTATCTTTATGTTTTTACTTTGTTGTGTATTTTATCTCTACAAACACACGTACACAGAAACAAATGTGTGTGTGAATATATATATATATAAAAATATGCTCACACACATACATATATATTTCCTACTATATTGATACATATAACTTTTTTACTATATTATGCTTATCTACTCTACTATTATTTATATTTCTTCTACCAAAGTATATATTCTTCTTTATTATATAGATATTTCTTAATAATATGTAGGTATTTCCCCAGGAAATTACATGTATAGCTCCCTTGCTGTCTATTTAATCTTCCCTCTTGAACATTATGTACCTTTCCTGCTATATATTATATATTGTACAAATATCCTTCTGTATGTTTTTTATATTTACTGTATTGCCTATTCTAGATATAACCCCTCTAAAGTTTAAGCTCCCTGAGGTCACGAATCCTGTCTTATCACTGTATTCTCAGAATAGAAACCTTGCACATAGTAAATGTGCAGTTATATATTGCATATGCATTTTACATATTTTGTACACTATATATTTTATAGATTGCTGATATATGTCTATGTATATGGAATACGTATATCCTAATATTATCCTCTTTTCTTCTGATGTGCATTATTTACCTACCATGATGCCCACCTGTTTCATACATATTACTCACTGTATACATATTTCCTCCTTGGCATCTATCTCCTATGTAATGTGTTTTTATATTCTAGTTTCTTCTATGTAAGTTGTGTATCTTGTACTTCATATATCTCTTTTGATTCAGACTTTCTAAGATTTTAACATTCACATTTTCTAATTCCTTAATTGTTCTTGAAAAACGTGATTCTTAATAGTGTTCTTTCATGTGAATGAGCCATATGTTATATAAACCTTTCCCCTAATTTGCCTATTTAATCTGTTTGTATGGTGGGAGTTTTTCTCCAATTTTGAACACTGCTATGAGGACCATCCATTTACCTGAATCTTAGGGAATCAAGGTTATTTTTTTGGATAAAAATCTAGGAATTCTTGGAAATCAAAAGATCTTAAAAGTTTCTTCCCAACATAAAGCAGTTTTCAACTTGTATCTATAAGGTATATGCAGTGTATACTCTGCTAAACATGAAATGCTCACTTCATGGCACTCTGACTAAAATTCCCCCTTAGGTTTTAAAAAATCTTTACAATTAGATGTAAAGATTTACACTTAGATGTAAATCTTTACAGTTAGGTGTGTGAATAAAATGGTGTCTTTTGTTTTAATTTGCATTTCTTTTAAAATACATTTCTGAAGTGCTTTAATCTTTACCTTCCTTCTTCTACTCCTCTGACTCCAAATAATAAAATTTTACGTTGTGTTCTAAATACATTTCTCAAGCTTCCTGTCTCTACATTGTCTCCAGGCCAGCCTCACTTCTGTCTCTGTGTCTTTCCTTATTTAACTTGTACAGAAGAGGGATCAAAAATTACCCCTTTTTTTTTGCCAGCTAGAGTAGATACTCAATGCTATTGATGAGCACAGACTTTGGAGCCAAGCTGACCTGGATTTGATTCCAGCACCGCTTGTCTCTGTAACCTGGGCCAACATTGGCTCTCTCACCCGTAAAATGGGGGATGGTAACACTGTGCTTGTGGGGTCTGTTGTGAGAATCTGGTGAGATTCCCTGTAGAGGCTTCTTGAACAGTGCCTTGAGCTGTTATCTTCCTTTTCTCAAATTCATGTCAGGCTCATCTGAATCTTGAAGCCTTGTATGTTGACCACAATTTAATTTCAAATAATAGTCTTAAACTTCTGTCTCCTGTTCGTTGTCTTTAATACCTCTGTGTTTATCTGACTTGACTTACATTTAAGCTGATCATGCTTTATTTCCCAAAATACTCTGCCCTACTGTTTAATCTCTCTATATATAAAAAATTATTTAAATAAATCACACTTAGAATGTATAAGATAAACCAGGATATTAGGATTTGAAGTAGGCTTTCTATCCCAAGAGCATGTTATTTGTTCAAATATTTTCCCTCTTGGGTACCTACTGGAATTTTTCTTTTAACTCTTTTTAGACTTGTGAAATGTTTTCTTTTACAGAAGAAAAGTTTAAATTCCTTCCTGTTAGCACATGTCTGCTGCAAGTAGAATAGCATAACTTCTTGATAGTATTTGTCTAGAAACTAAATTTTGTGGAGGATTCACTTCACTGGTGTCCCTGAAACTAAATTTCTAACAGGCAGGAGCAAATATTCCTAAAGATTTCTTTAAAACTAAGGCTGTTTCGTTTTCTGAGCCAGTTCTCTCAGAAGCTTTCATTTCTTACTGCATCTGCCTTAGACTTTTTGTCTTAGTATTCTGTAGATGTAATTATCATATATAAAATGTAGAGTCCGTAATATTCTGACAGCTCTGTAGTAGTAATAATATTCGAACGTAATAGGCAGCAAAAAAATTTGCTGGGGTTTTTATGGTTTCTTTTTCCATTTTGCCACTGAAAACTTACAAGTTAATTAGTGGAGCTTTTATGCTGTATACTGATACCTGGTGTTTCTTTTTGTTAATATGTTGTATTTCATTTTCCAGAACGCTGGAGTTCCTAATGAGACACTTGTCTCTTCTAGCTGACTATTGTTCCATCACAAATATGCATGCAAAAAACCTAGCAATTGTTTGGGCTCCAAACCTGCTAAGGTAAGTTGCATTTGACTTATGACCTGAAGTAGAAGCAGAGTGACTTTAAATAAAAGTAATTCATCAGTGTTCCTTAAGGATAATTTTTTTTAATTAATTAATTTATTTATTTATTTATTTTTGGCTGCTTTGGGTCTTTGTTGCTGCGCGCGAGCTTTCTCTAGTTGCGGCCAGCGGGGGGGCTACTCTTGGTTGCAGTGCGCAGGCTTCTCATTGCGGTGGCTTCTCTTGTTGTGGAGCACGGGCTCTAGGCGTGTGGGCTCAGTAGTTGTGGCTCGAGGGCTTTAGAGTGCAGGCTCAGTAGTTGTGGCACGTGGGCTTTGTTGCTCCGCGGCATGTGGAATCTTCCTGGACCAGGGCTTGAACCCGTGTCCCCTACATTGCCAGGCGGATTCTTAACCACTGTGCCACCAAGGAAGTCCAAGGATAATTTTTAAAAGTAAAACTAATATGTTGTTTTTATGAGCATCTTCCTAAAACAGGCAATCGGGGTTTAGCCAAGGCACTGTAAAAGTATGCTTTCTTCCTCTGGTTTGTCTGTGATTTACACATAAAGCGAAAAGTAATGCTCTTTAAGACTGCTCTTTTGGGGACCCTGTGATGGTAATGTTGTTTACCCCACAGATCAAAACAGATAGAATCGGCCTGCTTCAGTGGGACAGCAGCTTTCATGGAAGTGAGAATTCAGTCTGTCGTTGTTGAGTTCATCCTCAATCATGTTGACGTCCTTTTCAGTGGGAAGATCAGCGCGGTCATTCAGGAAGGGGCAGGTATGGCTCTAACAGATGTTGTTCACTACCAGGAACATGTATTAAAACCTCTACCAGATTGGGAAACTGCATTTCTTATCTCAATTTAATAAATCTGTCTTAGTAGAAAGCAGCTAATTTATATCTGTTCCCCAAAATGCACAATATAACAGTTATTTTGTATGTTTTTAGTGATTACTAAGTATTAGACCTATCACGATCTAAGTTCAGGGCCCATAAAAAATGTATCATGTCACCTATTATTGATGTATATAAAGGTGTAATGTAGAGCAGCAGAAGTAAAATTCCTTCCAAAACTAAAAATACATGAATGATACTAGGCCTTGCCTAGAATCTTTTAAGAAAAGAAAATAGTTAAATTACTTAAGGAATTTTATATTTATATCTATCACTGTTAATAACCTGGTATGTAATCTTCTATTCCTCACTTAGTATAAGGCTGTATTACTTTTACCATTTAAAAAACTTAATGAAGAAAATATAAAACAACACAGAAAGGGAGATAGATGGATGGACAGATAAGCAGATTGTTATATACACCCAGAGATATTTATATCTTTCCCCCCCGCCCCCGTGTCATGAAGTTTGACTCTCTTCATTGCTTTTTTTTCTTTCCAAAGCTTCTCTATCAAGACCCAAGTCCCTGCTGGTTTCATCTCCATCCACCAAACTGCTGACACTGGAGGAGGCCCAGGCACGAACACAGGCTCAGGTCAATTCTCCAATTGTGACTGAAAACAAATATATCGAAGTAGGAGAAGGACCTGCTGCACTTCAGGGAAAATTTCACACCATAATTGAGTTCCCACCTGAAAGGTAAAATTCATTTAGTCCTCCTCAAAAATGTGCATTTCGTGGCTATTTGTAATTTTCTTTTCTTTTACTTTTGCATTTTAGTATTACTATATTGATTCTGTGCCAGTCCCAGAAAGACCTGTTCCTTCGACTCCGGATGTTACCTCATAGGGGCTGATGTGAATGATTCTCGAAAAGCATTACAACATCATGTCATTGTTGGAAAGGAGAGGAAAGTCTGCTGTACAGGGAATATTGTTAGGAAAATGATACATTTCCTCTATGTAGGGTGTCATTTTCTCTCTGAAATATGTTGTTGAGAAATTTGTTTAGAAATAAACGTTGCGACAGCTTATTCAAAAAACAGTGAATGGCTGATGGCGTGGCATGGGTTCCCACCGAGTTCACAGTAGACCAGTGCTCCTCGCAGCGCATCTCCCGACTGGCAGGTCATTCTTGGCCAGCCCCAACCCCAGACCCACTGCACCAGAACTCTGGGCTGGGGTCCCGCAGTCAGTCTTTTATCAGACCTTCCAGGTGGTTCTGATGTGTGACAAAGTTTGAGAACCGCTGCTGTTCACTCTCTCAGTGTCCTTTCCAGCTCCTATTCTCTGTTTCTCTAAAGAAATGGTAATAACACGGTTTTTATATCTTCTTTACTAAGTTACTGTGGGAAGACTAATGTATGTGAGTTAATTTTGACCTCGGGTTACTGCTTTGGCTATTACATAGGAATGTGAAAACTTCAACTCCGTGGATTTGGATAGTACTAATGAAAGTTGAGAACTTATTTCCGCATGTTAGTATACTTCTCTAAATTCCTTTCATTTCCCTTGACAATAGTAAGTTAGAACATCTTTGTCATTCTAAGTTTATCTTCAGTTTCTTGAATTTACATGATACCTCTGTAATTTTCTCAAAAACCCCTTTATAGAATAGTAATCAAGAGTGTCGATGTTGGGATACAGATAGACCTGGGTTCCAACTCTGACTGCATTATTTACTAGTTTTACAACATTAAGGAAGTCACTTCAACTTCTTAGTGTCATAATTTCCTCAGTTGTAAAATGAGAATAATAATACCTCATACGGTTTTATATAACTTAAATGAGATACTACATATACAGTTAGCATAGTGCCTGGCATTCAATATATGTTAGTTATTTTTCTTAATACTTTTCTTTTTTGGCTTAATTCTCTTTCCTCACAGCTAAAAGCATTTTCTTCAACTCTATTTTATTTTTGGAGTTTTAATATTTTCTATTCCCAAATATGTCTTATTCTCACTTATTTCATGGATTGTGAGGTTAGATCCAAATATGAAAATCTGTATAAAAGTTATCTTTGTGAAACTAGTTACTACTATTAAAGTTCATAGATTTAATTTTCATTTCCTGCTTTATTTAGCTGCGCAGCTCAGCCGCACTGAGTAGAGTGAGCTCTGTGGAAGGTGGAGGTTTACTCTGTCAGCTGGGCCTCATCCAGGCTGCTTGGTTCTTTCCATCATTTACTCATTGTCCATAAGTAAAGGTAGCCGCCCCTTGGGTATCTTTATACAGATTATTTTCTCTCATAGGAGGAGGCCTCAAAATAAAATGAAAAAGTCTCCTGTGGGCAGCTGGCGTTCCTTTTTCAACCTGGGGAAATCATCATCTGTTTCTAAACGAAAGTTGCAGCGCAATGAGAGTGAGCCTTCAGAGATGAAAGCCATGGCTCTGAGAGGTCAGTGCGCCACGCCCTCCCTTCTCTCTGCGCTGTGGGAGCAGCTTGCCTGCAGGGCCACGCTTCCCAGCCTGTCAGGCGGCTCTTCTCTCACTCAGACGCAGACTCACCACATCGTTATAACAGGCCTTAACAGGAGGCGTCCTAGTTGTGTTGTTACACGTGAATTGTCTTCTTTTACCAGTGTTTTATTCCCAAATACATATTATATGTAAGTGTGTAGAAGTTCCCAATTCCTTTGGAAACCATATAGATAATATGTAGTGTAAATGTGTTTAAAAATTCACAATATATTTGTAATGTAGTTTGTGTATTGTTGGGAATAAAAAATACCTGCTGTGGTATTTAAACTTACTAGCCTACATATTTATAGATTTTAAAAATGACAAAATCATATTTCAACATGCCTCTAAGGGTTTATAAGTCTTATAACCAAAGAAGGTATCTTTTTACCAGATGATTCATTGATGAGAGTATCTTATGGGATAGATAAATCTATTACTGTGTTGTTGAAAGTACTGCCCTTTTAAAAATCATTTAAATCTACTGATGTTAACAGGTTCTGAATCTAGGAAGGAAAGTAGTGCTTACTTCTTGGGTAATGTTAGAAATACAACATTCAGTTCATTTAATTCATCATTCATTCAGTTTGCAATCATGTACTAAGCAAGTGCTAGATATTTTGATAGCAGCTTCTGCGGATAGAAAGAAAATTAAGACACCGCCCCTGCCTTCCATGTCTTATGTGGGACATCATATGTGTAAGAAAATAAATTTCATGCAGAATCATAGCTATTGAAATAGAGGCTTATGTGAGGTATTTATGGCAAGAATTGTCAGTTCATGTGGGGAGAGGAAAGAGAACCTTGACTTGGGTTCTGAAGGATAAGTAGGGATTCACCTGATCAACAAGGGACTGAGAAAGGTATTTCAGGAAGTGGGAGCAGAGTGTGTGCTGGTGTGTGGAACAGGGAGCCATGACGAACGTGGCTGGTGGGATGGTACACAAAGAGGTTCCAGTTCTTAGGGGCCCGGGAAGCTTGCTGGAGTTTTGGTTTTGTCCTGCATTCCTTGTGGCGGGGGGTCATTGAATGGCTTTGTTACGGAGTCCAAGCTCGCTCTGCTTGCTGCACGACAGCGGGCCAGTAAATCAGAGACGAGGTATTGAGGCAAGGAATACGGCCGCAGACCGAGAAGATGGCAGACTAAAGTCTCAAAATAACCATCTCATCGGGGGTTTGGATGCCAGCTTCTTTTATGTATAGCACAGAGAGGGGGAGGAGATGAGGAAGTAAAGTAAAAAGGCCGTAAGTTTTGCATGTATCACCTGGAATGGCCAGCCTCGGGGAGGGGACGTGTTAATTTCTTCTTTCTTGCAGCCATCCCCAGGTGGACAGGGTCCGGATGTTTCCCTGAACAAAGGCACTTTGGTTTAACCTTCAGGCAGAGGAGCAGGGTTCCCCGAGGCAGGCCATTACGTATAGACAGTATCTTTTTAGTGAACCAAAGTAGCGGAGAGCAAAGGTTAAAGTGAAAGAAACAGATCCAACATGTAGTCCCGGTTTGTCTCTTCCCTGTTACACCTTCAGTATATAACATGATCGGGTTTGGGTTTAAGAAAGATGACTTTGGCAACAGCATAGGGAATATATGGGAAGAGGACAAGACCTGGAGACTGGACAGTAAATCAGGAGACACTTCAAATTGTGCAGGCAAGAAACGATGAGTGTCTGGAATAAGCAGTGGCCATGGGAGTGGGAAATAGATCGGAGAAGTGTTCAGGAAGCTGAATCTACAGGGTGGGTGACCAAATGGTGGTGAAAAACGAGGAGGATAATTTTCAGGTTTTGATTAAACGGTAAGGGAGTTGGTGGTGCCATTATGCCTGTAGGGAACAGTAGGTTGGGGAAGAAAAATAATGTGTTAATTTTGGACATAGTGAGTTGGACCTGCCCAAGAGGTGATTAATAGTATAGATCTGGCATTCAATAAAGGGGTTTAATCTAACTAGAAATGCAGATTTGAAAGTCATCAGCAAACCAAGGGTGAAAACCCTAGGGATGTATTCTATGGCCAAAGGAGAGCCCGTTGAGTGAGGGAAGCGAGTTGGGGCCTGTTGAGTTGGGAAGCGAGTTGAGTTGGGAAGCGAGTCCTGGAGAAAAGCAGTGTTTAGAGGGTGGAGAAGGCAGAGCTGTCATGAAAGGAGAGTGAGAACAAACGGTGCCTAGGCAGGGAACAAAAGCTGGGCGCCAGCAGCGGAAGTCAGGGAGGAAGGGCTTACAAGGAAGTGTCAGCAGCCTTGAGCACTGCCAAGAGGCTGAAAGAGGATGAGGATGTTTAACAAATAAGATTCAACATGTGTAATTAATTAAATGACCTGTGTTAATTTCCTAGGGCTGCCCTAACAAATTGCCACATATTGAGTGGATAAAAACAACAGGAATTTGTTTCCTCACAGTTCTGGAGGCTAAAAACTGAAATCAGGGTGTCAGCAGGGCCATGTTCCCTCTGAAGGATCCAAAGAATCCTTCCTGGCCTCTTCCAGCTTCTGGGGACACCTGGTATTCCTTGGCTTGCGGTGGTTCCACTCCAGTCCTGCCTCCATCTTCACGTGGCTTTTGCTCTGTCTCTCTGCATCTTTTCTTCTTAAAAGGATACCAGTCATTGGATTTAGGGCTCACCCTAAATCCAGCTTTGTTGCTGAAATATCGGCTTCCCTGTGCACCGATGCCGAACAGAAATATGGAGACAGAGATTTTGGAGGAAGAGAGAGATGGCTTTATTTTTCTGCCAGGCAGAAGGGAAGACACAGCAGGCTAGTGCCTCAAGAGCTGTGCCCCCCTGTCCTGGGGAATTACAGGGGTTCTTATAGGTGGAACTCCCAAGGATAAGTGATAGGATCAAAGTGGTGAAGGTCTTGCATTCTTCTTCTTCTTCCAGTATCTTAAACCAGTCACTGCTGGCGTCAGGCAGCCTGTTAATTGGGTCCGTTTGCCTCTGGGTTATCAGCCTGCGACCTTCTTTCTGAAATGTAAACAGCTACAAGGGGTGATTTGCTACAAGAGAACGCAGCAGAGAGTAAATGCCAGGTGCAGGGTACAGTTCATATGGAATCAGAGAGTAAATTAGCTTTGTGAAGGACACTTCTAGCTACAAGTATTTGTTAGTAGTAACAGCTAAAGAATAACCAGGATTGCTTAACTCTTTCAGGGCTGTTTATGCTGTTTCCCCAGCCTGTTCATTGTTGCTTATTTCTCTTGTTTATCAGAAAAGTCTCATTTCTATTTTCACTGCAACAGTATGAGATCATCTCAAGACATACTGATCTTTAGGAAATATAAAAGCAAGTTTTAAAACTCATCTCTATTCTCAAGTTCATAATCCTTCAGAAAAGATTTTTCACATAGGAAACCACTTGAGAACGGTACAACACATTATAAAATACAATGCAAAACTGAATATGGTTGCAAAAATAGAATTACTCTCGGAAGTTAAATATATGCACAGAAAGCACTGCTCCCTTCCAGTACGTATGTAGCGGTGAGTGAAGGCTGACGCTGTTTGGTTTCGACTCCCCAGGCGGCAGGGCAGAAGGGACCTTGCGCTCAGCTAAGAGTGAGGAGTCTCTGTCTTCTCTCCACGCAGCCGACGGTAAGACTAAAGCATCAGTGGTTTTCTTCCAGAATGTATTTCATAAAAGGACACACAATTAAGTATATTTTATAAGTACATGCTTAATAAATAGGCTATAGACTATGATTTCCTAAAGATACTAGTATCTGTTGATATTTAGCATTGTCCATTGATGTTTTAATATGGTAACAGTCTTTAATTTCGTCACTTTTGACATGATTGCTATTCAATTTACATAAAAATAGGTGAGTGTTTTAAGTTAACCATTTATATTTATTAAGGCCCAGTGGAAAATGGCGTTAATAGTATTTCTTTAAATTTCACAATGAGAGCACAATGTTTGTTACAAAGTGCAAAATTAAGCAGTTTTGATGTTTAGAGCAGCAGTCTTTTGTCTTGCAAGTTTAACCTGAGGTTAAATCTCATACGTCACTTTGGCTAGAGGCAGCCCTCACTATCTGAGGATGGTTAGCACCAGGAGAAGGCAGCTTAAAGTGAATCTGCTTAAAATGGGGACCAAAATTTTATGGCAAATAGTACAAAAAGATTTGATTGCAACTTGAAGAACAAAACGTAAAACTTTTGAAAATAACTTCTTCGCTTCCGTTTAGGATAAATTGGGTTATAGTTGCAACTCTGTACTAATTTTTAGAATGAACAAAGATTACTTCCATGTTGACTTGGAGGGAGGTAGAACTTTTTTGACAAAACCATGTAGTTTAGCAAATAGGACATCCTCCACATCGTGTTTGGCTTGTGCAGCAGTATGATAAAAAAAAAAAAGGCACTTGTTGCAAAAATAATCAAGAGCTGCATTGATTTCCCACGGACTTTTCTTAATCCATTGGTATTGAAATTGTGCTCTTTTGAAGTTTCCTGGGGTGTCTTCCTTCTGGTCAACTTTCTCATCCTCATTTATAACTTCTAACTGCCAGGTCCTCATTGACCAATGGCTCTGCTTGCGATTCAACAAATCCTCGCATTTCACTTCAGTTGGGTGTCTGACATCTTACTGGTTTTCCAAGATTTTCCATTTCACTGAAGTCAAGAGAATGGTTCACAAAAACAATGCAGTGGGCTGGGTAGGTGCTTGATTTAAGCAGCAAATAGTATTTGAGTAGGGATTAATTTTATAAGTGGTCAGCACATTAGCGGATGTGTTTGTGTTAAGACAGTGCCTCTTTATAGTACATTTTCACTATGGCAATCCTAATCATTGTAATAGAATAACGAGATAGAGGACTTCTTTTACCAGTTAGACGTTTAGCAGTATCATAAAATCAGGTAATACTCTACCACTCTTAAGGCCTCTCCTTGAGAAACTTAAAGCCTGTTCTTGTTAAAGAAAAAAAATACTATTTTTAAGTATTTGAAAGGAATCCTTTACTAAATATATGTAAACACTTTATTTTTTTTTTGAGAAGTTCAATTTTGTAGTAATTTGGGTATGAGGATTTTTCCTCAGAAAAACAAACAGAAAACCCTTTTTGCTATTGTATATCCAAAGTACCATTTAAAGTGGTTAGTTCTACCTCACAAATCATGTGTGAGGTCAGTGATAAAATCAGACAAAAAGAAATGAAAAACTTGGGCAAAGTCACAAGAGTCAGTGTTGGGCTAGTAATAGAATCTAAGAGTTTTGAGTCCTTTTTCCTGTTGAAACCATCAAATGCATTCTTCCTCTGATTGTATCAGATGTGTTTGTTACTTAGCATTTGCTTTGGGAGTTCCATCTGTGTGCCCCAAGAGACAATTATGTTTTCTTACTCTACATGGTATGTTTCTGCTGTACTGAGTAGATGATTTCTCACGGCACCGTGTATCCTATGACATTCATACTCTGATATTGTATCCATTTTTACCAGGTGATTCCAAGCTGTTCCGACCCAGAAGACCCAGATCTAGCAGCGATGCCCTGAGTGCCTCTTTTAATGGAGAGATGCTGGGGAACCGCTGTAATTCCTACGATAATCTGCCTCACAACAATGGAAGTGAGGAGGAAGTAGGGCTGCTGCACATTCCGGCTCTCGTGTCTCCTCATTCAGCTGAGGATGTTGATCTGAGCCCACCAGACATCGGGGTAGCCAGCCTGGATTTTGATCCGATGTCATTTCAGTGCAGTCCTCCTAAGGCCGAATCAGAATGTCTGGAGAGTGGGGCTTCCTTTTTAGACTCATTGGGATACTCCAAGGATAAACAGGGTACCAACAGAAAGGACACAGAAGCAGGTGGTAGCCAGTCTCAGACTCCAGGAAGCACTGCAAGTTCTGAACCTGTCTCACCTCTTCAGGAGAAACTGAGTCCATTCTTTACCCTGGACTTGAGCCCAACTGAAGAGAAACCATCTAAGCCAGCCTCGTTCACTGAAAAGGTCGTCTATGCTTTCTCTCCAAAGATTGGACGGAAATTAAGCAAATCCCCCTCTCTGAACATATCTGAGCCAATTTCAGTGACCCTTCCCGCTCGGGTGTCGGAAGTCATCGGTACCGTCGCAAACACAGCAGCCCAGAATGCACCTTCTCCAGCTTGGAACAAAAGTGGCGAAGAAAGTGATGTCATAAATAGATCCCCCACCCAGGTAGTAAAGATAAAAGCAAACGAGAGAGAGGCCCAGGAAGGGTGTGAGTCTGAAGTCCAGCCCCTGGACCAGGTGGCTGCTGCAGACGCAGACCCGCCAGGGAAGGAGGAGCCTGCCTCAAGCAGTCAGAGTAAGGCTGTACCTTCTGGACAGACTCAGACAGGTACCATTTGTTTTCCTCCATTCTTTCTTTAAGCTAAGAGGGATCTTCAATCCCGTGTGCCAACTGTGCCTTTTAAGAGAAATTTACTCCACAGCTAGCCTTTAATCAAACAGAATGTTTTTCTAGGTGGTGCTGATGGCTCAAAGCCCTAAATTAAAATCAGTCAAACAGAAAATCCCCCAAAGGGCCAGTGGTCCTGCTTCAAACCTTCATAAAGTCCCCTTATCTCCTTGGACAGTCAGAATTCCTGGATAATTTTTGCACAACTTCGTAGCTCTTGATTCTGTTTTCTCTTCTGATAAAATACCTAAATTATAGCCTTACAAGTTAACCAGCCAGCCTACACCGTCAAATATAAAAACTATTCTTAATGACAATCTGCAAGCACTTGAAGCTTGTTTTTTAAGCAATCTTTTCTGAGCCAGGTGAGGGACCTGCTTCACCCCCATCTCTGTAGCAATCCAAGAGGAGATTGCAATCTTAAACACTCTTTTGTTTTAGTTTTCCTTCTGAACCAGATGTGTTTTCTGCAGCATTTGCATGTGGGATAGAAGATCGTGGATTGCCATTTTGAAATATGGAAGGCACCCATTTTTTTAGTGATGAAATGGGGAGTGTTTGGCTTTCCGTATAGGATAACACAAGCTACCTTTTCACTTTCATTTTTTTTCCCAATTTCCCACCAGGAGCAGATACCCATGACCCCCCTCAGGATTCCGTTCCTGTAAGTTCAGTCTCTCTTATCCCACCACCACCGCCTCCGAAAAATGCTGCCCGCCTGTTGGCGCTGGCCTTAGCTGAGTCTGCACAGCAAGCCTCGACCCAGTCATTGAAGAGACCGGGCGCTTCCCAGGCTGCTTGTACACATTATGGAGACACAGCAGTGGCTGCGACTGAAGAGAAACTGCCTACTGCCTACTCTAGTGCTACCTTAGATAAAGCCTATTTCCAAACCGATAGGCCAGCTGAGCAGTTCCACCTCCAGACCAAGGCCTCCGGAAACTGTGACCAGCCAGCACCGGATACGGCAGCTACTGGGGTTTATACCCATTCCAGCGCCACTGAATCTGGGGAGCATCGACACCCAGCAGACATACCAGGCGATCAGCCGCCTCGAATCTATTTATCTGGGGACCCAGAAAAGGCCAGAGTCACTTCAGTTCCCTTAATAGATTCTGAGTCTGATGTTCACATAAGTTTCGCTGAAGACCAGTCTGTGAAGACCAGTATGCCGACTGTCTCCTTTGTGGGCCAGGATCAGCTTCGTTTCTACAGTGGAGACCAGCCTCCTTCTTATCTTGGTGCAAGTGTGGATAAGCCCCTTCACCCTTCAGAACTTGCAGACAGAGCTCCCGCACCTTCTAATTTGCCTAGGGACAAAATCTACCCTCCTCCTGGGTCCCCTGAAGAGAATACCAGCACAGTCCCCGTGGCCTACATGACCACTGCTCCAGCAGCAGCTGACTTGAGCGCCAGGGAAGCCAACTGGGATGTGGTCGAACAGCCCAGCACAGCCGGGTTCACCGCTGCCACCCTCCAGCGCGGTCACAGAACTAATCGTCCCCTCCCCCCGCCTCCTTCCCAGAGACCCTCAGAGCAGCTCCCAGTCCTGGGGCAGGTACAAGCCGCAGCCAGTATAGGACTAAACAACGCCCACAAGGTAAGAAGGGGGGAAGTCAGTGAGATGAAATGTGTATTTTTCCGAAGGTATGTCACTCTCCAGCAGGGTGTGTTGTTACCTTGAGTGAGATCTGACATCTGCCTTTAAGTCCTGTGGCAGGTTTCCATGAAACATTTCCCGGTTGAGGTTGGGATCTGCCTTTATTGTGATGCTGGTTTTCCTCTGAAAAAGGAGTGGTTACTCGATGGCTCTAGTTTAACGATACCTGCTCCCTCTAGTTCCTAAGCATGTAGGTAGTTTCTTCATAGAGATACGAAGAGATTGTGAACAAACGAGTCAAGCTGGGCCTTAGGTGTCAGGGTTGCAGGGTTTTCCCGGCTCCATCACTGATCCATTGTGGCTCTGGGCAAGTCGTCCAACCACCTCTGCCAGTTACTCACATCTGCACTACCAAAGCGCTGTATTCTCAGGACACTTGAAAGACTTTCTGCCTTACAGACTTTTTAGCAATATCAGAGATGACAGTGTCTTAGGACTTGTTATTTTCTCAGCATTAACCAGCAGATTGTTCTATAGTTAAGCACCTGTTTTGATGAGAGAATGTTACACGCAGAATGATAAGGGTTTTTGTCGTCACCTTGAACTAAAAGGACTTCATATCTAGTCTTCTGTGCGGGATGCTCTTTCTAGTGGCTGCTTCTCAAGGGGAGCATGTTTGCAGCCCTGCAGTGAGGACCACGTTTGGCTTCTGCTGCCACAGACCAGCTGGAGCACAAGGAGGGAGGGAGAGACAGGGACTGTTGGATGCCACCTAGACGAGTCCCTTTCTGTCCTTCCCTGGACTGGGGGCTAAAAACTGTCCACTGGGCAGCCGTGAGTCACTTTAAAAACCTCTCCAGATAGAACCAATGCTTCTTGTTTAACAGAATGTTCTTGGTGTTGAGACTGAGCTGCATAGATAGACAGGGTGTATGTTTTTAAGCCTGGTGGTTATTTGGCTAAACTTCTGTTTGGTCTGCACAGTAAGACAGTGTCATGGGCCACCTCATCTCACGTTGAAAACTATCATAAATGAGAACAGCTCTCCAAAGATGGGATGGCTGCTACACCAGATGGCCACACAGGCCTTCTTTCCGTGGCAGTGGGGACAGGTCGGTCTCTGTCCTGTGCAGTGTATCCGCACAGCTTGGGAAATTTCAAGCTGCTGCCCCAATGGCCTCAACTTGTGAGTTTAATAGCGTTTGATTCCATAGAGGGGAGCAGAAAAGACAAACTCACACTGTTATCATCTTTCAATAGGTTCAAGGAGTAGTTCTGGCTCCAGAGAGGCCGCCTGAACCCAGAGCCCTGGGTGACCCCACGCCTGTCCTGGCCGGCGACGGTGGGGCCGCCGCGCAGTGTCCCGCCTCTGCGCCCGCTCCCCAGCCCAGCCTTCCCGAAAAGGTGCGGGAAGGTGCCAGGGCCCCCCCACTGCACCTGCGCGGTGAGCCCATCCCCGTGCACTCCTCCTGTGGCTTCCCTACCCCGGGGCCCCCCACCAGGACCATGGAGAATAAAATCGCTGCTGCCATCCACTCCAGCTGCCCAGACACGTCCAGCAGCTCTGGGCACCACACCTTTGTCACGACTTCCTCAGCCTCCGTGGAGGACGTTTTGCCTTTACCAGTCCTTGTCCCACAAGCCAAGCATGCCTCTCAGAAAACTGCGTATTCCACCTTTGCTAGGCCTGATGTCACCACTGATCCCTTTGGTCCAGAAAACTGTTTGCATTTCAGTATGACTCCAAGCTGCCAGCACCGCCCCCAGAGCGTCCCCCCTCATCACGGCAAAGTGGAGCAGCACCAAGCATACGGCTCCAGATCAGAGCCGCCAGCCTCCATGGGTCCTCGTTACAACACGTACGTGGCCCCGGGAAGAAACGTGTCTGGACACCACCCGAAGCCATGCGGCCGGGCCGAATACGTGTCCTCCCTGAGCTCCTCCGTTAGGGGCAGTTGTTACTCCGAAGAAATGCCCCTGTACCCCACCATCCGCAGGGTGCAGTCTCTCCACACCCCTCCGTCGTCCATGATTCGCTCTGTCCCCATTTCGAGGACAGAGGTGCCCCCAGATGATGAACCAGCCTACTGCCCAAGACCCCTGTACCAGTATAAGCCATATCAGTCCTCCCAGGCCCGCTCAGATTATCACGTGACTCAACTCCAGCCTTACTTTGAGAATGGACGGGTGCACTACCGCTACAGCCCCTATTCCAGTTCTGGTCCCTATTACAGCCCAGACGGGGCCCTGTGTGACGTGGATGCCTACAGCACAGTGCAGCTGAGGCCCCTTCACCGCCTGCCCAACCGCGACTTTGCTTTCTACAATCCTAGGCTGCAAGGAAAGAACATGTACGGCTACGCTGCTTTGCCTTCACGTCCCCGGGCCAATGTGACTGGCTCGTTCTCTGCTAATGACCACAGTGTAGTCAACATGCCTCCAGTCGCCGAGGTAAAGCACACTTACACCTCATGGGATTTTGAGGACATGGAAAAATACCGCCTGCAGTCCATCCGGAGGGAGAGCCGTGCGCGGCAGAAGGTGAAAGGGCCTGTTATGTCCCAGTATGACAACATGACCCCCGTGGTGCAAGATGACTTGGGTGGGATCTATGTCATCCACCTGCGGAGTAAATCAGATCCTGGGAAAACTGGACTTCTCTCGGTGGCAGAAGGAAAGGAGGGGCGGCACCCAGCCAAGGCCCTCAGTCCCGAGGGAGATGACCGCCTCTATAGGAAGCATCTGGAGCCGGAGTTCGACAGAGCCCACCACCATGGAGGACACGGCAGTGGGCAGTCAGAGAAGCCGACCCTCCCTCAGAAGCAAAGTAGCCTCAGGAACAGGAAGCTGCATGACATGGGTTGTAGTCTCCCTGAGCACAGGGCACATCAGGAAGCAAGCCATAGGCAATTGTGTGAATCAAAAAACGGGCCACCTTACCTACAGGGAGCCGGCCAGTTAGATTATGGGCCCAAAGGGATTCCGGACACTTCTGAGACAGTCAGCTACCATAACTCTGGAGGGAAATATATTCCATCAGGGCAGGAGTCTCTAAGACTGAACCACAAAGAGGTGAGGCTCCCCAAGGAGCTGGAGAGGCCTCGGGCTAGGCAGATTGCAGCCCCAGAGAAACACTCCAGAGACTGCTGCAAGGAGGGGGAACTCCTCGCGCAGTCAGCAGTCCCACCCCCTAAGCCAGAGAGGAGTCACAGCCTGAAGCTCCACCATACCCAGAACGTGGAGAGGGACCCCGGCGTGCTGTACCAGTACCAAACACACGGCAGGCGCCAGGGCAGTGGGACTGTCGGGCCCCAGTACGATAACCTGGAGGGCTACCACTCCCCGCCCCAGCACCAGCGAGGAGGCTTCGGAGCAGCGGCGATGGGCACGTATGTGCCCCCCAGCTTTCCCCACCCACAGAACAGAACATATGCTACAGCTCTGGGGCAGGGCGCCTTCCTGCCCACAGAGCTGTCCTTGCAGCATTCTGAGACACAGGTCCATGCGGAATGAGCCCCGGGAGCAATAGAGTTGAAGCAGCCTCTGCTGGACAGTGGACTGTTCTATTTTTTTCAGTAACCAAAAAAAAAAAAAAAAAAAAAAAAAGCTACAGAACCCCCGACCACATTTAAAAATTAAGAAGAAAAATAAATCACCATCTTTTTCCCCCTTCCCTGCTTCATCACCACCTCTTCCATCTACAAACTGTCATTTTTGTCATTTAAAGATCTGAAAGATTGTACAGCACTGTGTTGAAAATCTCATAAAGAAATTTGTTACAGACCATACTTGCCATATATAAGGGCTGATTTGTAAGAGCCTGAGGACTGCCTTTAACTGAATTTGAGTTTGACTTCGTCCTTCCTAGCATATTCTGTGTCCTTCAGAGCCTGATGCCCACTTCCCTGAAGGTCTTTGTGTGTCCTGTCTGTTCCCACTTGCTTTCCCAGTAGCCATGTCTTGCCTAGAGGGATACCTGTTTTTCTAACTTCATTCCCCCTGTCTTAGAAGGGGCTGTGTGTTATATTAGAGTGGAGAAAAACTTCTCCTTGATCCTTCACATAAGTCTATTGGACATTTAGAAAATTATAACAAAAAAAAAGGAATTAAGACTTTAAGTATTTAATAACCATCACAAAATGTCAGACCACTTAGATCCAGGCTGAACTGTGCTTGTCACACCCTTCCATAGCTGCTCCTCGCAGCGCAGCGGGCAGACGCCTCTCACTGCAGAGGGATTTGTAAGCTAGAATTAAAGAACCTTCTTAGCTGGAAGTCAGTGACCTTTGTTAGTACCAGAAAACGACATCAGTGGTTCTAAGCTGCTGCTGCCTGCCTTCAGTTCTTTTTTTTTATTCTCAGTAATATTTGGTAAATTGTGATCCTAGTGAAATATTTCACACCATTTGTTTTCCTAAAGCAACTTTTGTTTTTCATTTTAAAAAAAATGCATGGTTTGACTGGATAAACACATAATTTATCATGATTACAAATTTACATGTTAATTTGTTTTTTAAACCAGGTGTCCTGGGAATTCTTAAAGTAGCTACAGGTTATCTGTTAGTAAACTGAGCGTTCCTGCAATAACCACTTAGCACAGCCCGTTTCACCTGCTGGAATTCTGGGCAGTGACCGTTTACACCCTGAGGAATGAACGTACTGTTTCTTCCCTCTGTCCTCGTGCGATCACAGTCTTACTGTAATTGCCATCCACACCAGCATTTCAGGTATAGTCCTTACAACGCTGGAGACATGTTAAACATGTTCATACCCAGGGCTTTCTTTTGAAAGTTGCATTCCATTTTCTCAACCCACCTCACCACGTATGCCAGACTAGAAGGCAGTCCTGTATTTATAAAACGAGTTGAGATTGTCATGTCATTCCATAGCTCTTTATAATACTTGATTTTTATACATTCACATGTTTTAAATGCTCAGTTTGTAGAAGATACTAGGAGAATTTCATTCCATTTACTGGATGGTTGCTGCTCTGGCTTTTTAAAACTTGGAATTAACTTTTATTTAGAGCAAAGAAAAATCTTTTAAGAGGCTAAATTCATGCTGCTATTATTGCTGTGAAATTGTATAAAGATTAGGATTCATGCCAGTTTTTTTTAATCTAAAATATCATGTGATTGCATTTTAAGGGTTTATATTTAGAAAAAAAATAAAGTTTTAAGAGCAACACATTTATCTATATGTGGAAATACGCTGTAAGGTTTTCTTTCGTTCCCCCAGAATTGATCAGAGAGATTCAACGAAGATCATGGTAGAAATCCTAAAATTATGGAAAAGGTCTGCAGAAATTCAGACCTCTAGATGAAAAGTGCAGACGCACCTGGTATATAGTCACAGTGTTAGGGAACCTGATAGGATACTTCCATTTAGCACACACACACATCAAGAGCTCTGTGCAGGTATTGGCTCTTCGGTGAATATGCGGCACTAATATTTTTTCAGCCACAGCCATCTTTTTGTCAGTAGGCAATCCATTGTCCCCTTGAGATAATACAAGCCCTGTAAGCTCTCACCAACAGCAGGGAGACTAGGAAGCGGAGCTGGTGTGACCCGGGGATACAGATGGCTTTAGGAACTGAGAGCCTAGAAGGATGTGGCTGAAGGTGTCCAGTTTTAACATTTGTGGGTTTGTCACACACATTATTTACTCCTGAAACGAAGGTCTATTTTATAAATACTAAGGTTAATTCTTGAAGGGGGTTACTTTATTAAAGTGCTATGGGTTTAGAAATGTCAGGTTAATATTTTGAATACAGAATAACGACTCAAATTCCTGGTGTAAGTGTGAAACACAAACTTTAGGTAAAATCTACAGTTGCTGCACTTGGTGTAGGTACAGCCTTAACTCTGGGTTCAGTTATTTGAAGGACTTTGCCAGTATCCTTCCCTTTCTCATATTGTGGGTAGACGGCAGGTCACTGTGATCCGGTTACCTCAGTATAATTCACCTCGTGTGTGACTGCACAGACTGAGTAACTGTGTTGACACGGAGCATATTACGATGAGAATATGGACCTGCCGTATGCATTAAACCCAGAATTTAATTCTGTTGGTATTTTCACAGCCATGTCTCCAGATTTTATACTTTTTGGCAAAATTCTGATACCACAGCTTTGTTTGATTGAAATAAATATTCCCTGGATGTCTGGCCAGAGACTTTGCTAACAGCCCCGGAGATGCCATCTTCTTTCAGTAAATTTCATCTGAGCCTTATCGCTTCCTGTAGTCAGTTTCCTTCCAAACATGCAAGTCCCTGGGGATGGTCTCAGGATAGGGCCTGCACATTTTTATAATGGCAAAGCCTTTTCTAAAAGGGTCAGGTTGAAATATTCTAGGACTAATCCTGTAAAGAAGAGGGACCATTAATGTGAGTGGGGATAGAAGAATAGGCTATCACCACATCTGAAGCAGCAGTAGACACATACGGTGTAAATTGGAAATTTGCCCTTTAGTTTAAAAAAGGAGCCTGCAAAGTCCATATATCTGTTCCCAGCCCTGTCAGTCACCCATTCAATATGTTGGCAAAGTATCGTCTGAGCAGTGTGTGTAAGAAGTAATAATGAAAGCAAAAGGATGTCAGAAAGTTAATTCCAAATGGTTAGAGGCATGTGATTTGTAGTACTGTGTGTGACGGAAATGTCAGGAATGGTATATTTTAACTGTGTGCAAGCTAATGTCAGTGTGCACAGAGGGTCTTTTTTCCTTTTTCGATTAGTGCTGTTAGTGTTCAAAGAATAAAAATGGTTGTTTTACAGTTTAGATTCCAAGGTAGCAAAATCTGATTTTTCAACCATCACCTGCATGAGAGAAGCATCCTAGGAAGTCTTAGATCATACTTCTGAGTTCTTAACTTTAATTTATATAGTGTTTTTTTATGTTTTAATATTTTTGTGAACTGGTGTAAATTGTTAATGCATATAAGCTTGTGTATTTTTGTAAATAGTTTGTGATTTATTTCTTGACCCATATGTAAATATTTAGAGTCTCATTTCTTCAAAAGTTATTTGAAGCTGAGTTGTGGGTTTGGGGTTTTATTTGTTTGTTTCTTTGTTTGTTTTGGATGGGGGTGGGGGGAGAGAAGGGATTTTGTACTCTGATAACCCAGATGGAGATACCTTGTGGTTTAAAGCAAATGTCCCACTGAAAGCAATTCAGATATCAACAAAATTATTTCAGGTTAAAACAGACTTCCTTGTGTATGTGTTTCCTTTTTAACCTAATATGAATTATAACAAAATAGATGGGGTAATTGGGGGTGTTCAGACCAAAAGATTAGCATTTGTATGACACAGACTATTATACCAAAAGGAATATTATTTTATTTGAGGGAAGCGATTTAATGTCTCCTGTTTTTATCTGTCACAGTATGTTGCCTGGCCGAATTTTCACCAGGTAAGATGGTACCTTCAGAACTGCAGAAACCTCGTCCTGCACTGGAGGGTCTGGGCAGGCTTGCTGCACGTAGGGCTGCCCTCAGGCATCTGTGCACTGGCCTGCCGCCTGGCTCCCAAGCTTGCGGTTTCCAGGAGGCTGAATTGGCTTCTTAGGGTTCCCCAGAAGGGGGCTCTGAATAACAACCATATTTCTAAAGATTCCCACACAGCATCTTGGACATCCTGTGTACTTTGCAGAGTGAAATGACCAGAAAAGAATCAACTCCTACACGCAGTCACCTGTGGCCAGGTGGTTTGTGGATAAAGATAAAGCATTCAGATGTGACAGCTGCTGCCAGTAACCCACCTGCCTGATGGGGGTCCAGACGCCTTCCTGTGCCAACGTTCTTCTCAAAAGAAATACTTCATATCAACCAGGACTTTGTGAAGGAAAAAAAACAAAACACTTCAATATTAAGCTATTGGAATCCTAGTTTTCCTACTAGGAATGATAAATTACAAATTATTCTTCATCCTAAAATATTAGGGCCTGTCCCTTTTTGCCAGTAAAAGGGAAGTTGCCCGTTTAGTACAGATGACCCTGGCGTGCCAGCCATCTTTTATATATCTGTGTACCACACTCCAGACCGGAAGCAAGATATAACATCTGCTTTCAATAAACACTCCCAGCCTGAACATGTGTTCCCACGGAAACTGCTCAGATGGGATTAAAGACATGTATGACATCGCCACTGGGTCTTCTACTTAATTTTCTGCAATTCTCAATACCAAGTATTTCATTACCAAATTTCCTTCATACTGATGAAAATACAGTACCTACCTCTTAAAAATGTATATTTATTTGTCACTGAGGAATCAGTGAAGAATACATTGGTGGTGTTTGGGATTTTAGTCATTCATGGTCCTGTGGGAAAAGGCACGCTTTAAAGTGATACTCCCTGTTAACATTAAAACTTGGGGCACCTGCATCCACCTGAAATAAGACATTTTAGTTGCTATGTTTCTCACATAATTGAGAGTGTACCTCTTAAAAAGAAAATTGTGAGGTTTAATTTTTATTTTAAATATTTTAATTAAAGTATTTCCAGAATATATTTCAAACCACAAACTTTGCTGTCAGTATACCTAATGATTCACCATTTACATCTATGGATCACTATACCACAAGATAGTGATACTGTTGGGACACACTGAGATAAAAAGTGTTCGCTTCTATACCAAATGCTCTACCACCACTGTCCTATTATGTTCTTGCAGTTGTTTTTTTTTTTAATTTCCTATATCCTCCTTTTCTTTCTGCTGTCACTGCCTGCTGCTGTCTACGTGGTACCTGTAAAACTTCCTCTAAATAACCATTCAAAATAAATAAGCTTGTCAAACTGGTGAGCAAAACAAATTCTGAACTGGGGCCCTGAAAGATTGGGACTTCGTGTCATCTGTTTTTCATTACTTGGAGCCTCTGATTCTTTTCTCCTAACAAGGTGCTTGGATAGCCGAGTTTCAGAAGGTGAGATGATTATATGAGATGCTTAGAAGGGAGAATAAAACAAAAACTCTTTAAGAGTTCTCCCTGCATTTGACATTTTGTGAGAAAGCTACATGATTAGACAGACCGGCATTTTCCATGTGAATAACTCCCCATAGAGGAATGCTGGCCCACAGAAGACATCCAGCTCCACCATGAACTCCAGTGGGAAGAGAGAAAGGAGTGCCAGGCACATACAGCTTCAGCTGTTATCAAGTCATTCAATTAGTGCCCTTTTTCTTTAAATCTCCTAAAAACATTTTGCAAAACACCCTGAGAATTCTCAGCCACTTGTTCATGTTTCAAACTGGGCAAGAAGTTCTCAAACTTTAGAATCCACGTACAGCACCTGGATAGCCAACTAAACGTAAGATTCCTTGAGCAACCGCCGGACAGTCTGACTCAGTAGGCCTGGGACTGGACTCAGGAATCTACAATTTTAGCAACCACTGTGTGATTCTGGTACAGGTGGTTGAGAAATAACTAGACAGCAGCTGTAATAGGCTTCTCACAGAGGGAATACCGGCTCCAGTTTATAGAGCTTTGCCACTTTTTCGCATTTGCACCTTGGCTCCCCGTCACTTTACTGATGGCTAGAACAGAAGTTTATCATTAATTTCTCTGTCCCCAGTGATTACATACTAAGCCCAGGTTCAATTATTTATAGCAATGACACATAGAAATTAGGTGTAATTGGGCTGACAAGCAATATAGAAAACAATTTAACATTTTCTAAAGCTGGTAAGATGCTCGTGAGCGTCATTAACTCCCATTATATACTTACATAGTCAAGTCTTGGGTGTGAGCCATTCAGGCTGGTCAGGAAGTGTAGTTCACGCATATTGCTATTCAGACAGCCAACTCAAATACTATATTCAGGGGAAACAAATAACTCTTAGAACCAAGTGATCTGCTTTCGCACCAAAACTTTTACAAGAACTACCAGCACATAATTAGCTTATTTGACTTTTTAGTTTCATGTATTTCGTCAGTTGTGGGCAATGGTATGGAAATGTTTTTAACAGCCAATGGTGACACTGCTTACTATCTACAGTGCTAGTCAGTGCTGTAAGCCTTGTACATCTGTTAACTCATTTGTTCCTCATCGGTTTATAGATGAAGCCAAGGCACACAGAGGTTCAACTCTTCACCCACTGTCGTACAGCTGGTAAAGAGTGAAGGAGCTGAGATCCAGACCCAGGCTCTCCTGACACGAGTTTATGCTCTAATAAAAGCAGCCTTTAAGGTTGGGTAATTGAATCCCAACTGCTACTAGTTCTAAAATCCTAAACTGAACTACTGAGTCCTTCTAAAACTGTTTCTAAAACTCATACTAAGCCGTGGCTTCCTCATCTCTAAAATGGGAATAATAATAATATTACCTATTACCTACCCCTTGGGGTTGCTCTGAGGACTAAATTAGGTAATACATGTTCCTAAAGGGCTTAACAAAAGAGCAAGTACCCAATAAAAGTTATCCAGGCTTTGTATTGTGAGATGGTGCAAGACCACACAGCAGTTAAGGGAAAGTTATGTTATGCTTCTACAATTGTATCATTAAGAATTTAATCAGTTGGGTCAACTTTTCTGAAAAACTGGAAGGTTTCGCATAGTTGACATATATCTTGCAGGAAGAGAATCTTGACCAGTAGAGACGCAAGATGTAATTTAGTGGTTAAAAGGAAACTTCAGAGTGAGACTTGGAGTGGGACTGGCAGTGGAGAAAGCCCTTGCTTTCTGAAGATCCTTGGCAGTTGTTTTGCGGACACCTTTATGTAGACCGCCCCGGTTACGACCACTGACGACGCTACGTCCGTCCTGTGCTAAAGCAGGGTTCTCTCCGTCCCATTCCATTGACTCATAACTGCAGCTCAGGGAAGTGGTCTTATGACCCCAGGGAGTGGTGCCTTCTCTACTAACGGAGCAGCTGTCAGCAGGCCTCGCTTCATTGTGTGGCCCCAGCGGCTCGCGGGCTGGTTAAAGCACACGGTGGCGGGAACAGGAGCCGCGCTCAGACTTGCCGCAGAAAAATCACAGGGGGAGACAGACAGCTTGCTTTACGCAAGAGTGGCTAAAGCGAGATGACTTTGTCTCTCCATTTTTGAAAAGGAAAACTTAGGGTCAGTTATAAGGGTCTTTCCATTATTCTTAAACACACGACCATTTTTCTTGATTCAAGATCCGTGGAAGGAAATGCTTATTCAGAGGAGAGAGTGTAGTGACTGAAGTGATGGTAACTGTCGCGCTAACAATTTATTGGTCGATTACCATATACCAGGCTCTTCTAGGTGTTTACATGTATTAATACTATCTCGGCCTTCCAACAGTTATGTGAAGTAGCTTTTTTTACTTGTATACCACTTGACAGATAAAGAGACTGAGGCCCAGAAAGTTTCAGTGATGTGCCCGAGCTCATTCCTCTGAGGTTTGGGGGATTCAGGGCCCAGCTCTCTGACTCGGAGGCTGCACTTTTATCACTTCTATGCTGCCCGCCCAAAGGGGGTCTTCAGAGGTCACGAACACCCTAACCCTGGACCGGCCGAGACACCGGGCTGTGAACTTGCAGGGAAGTCACCCCCGCCTCGGACTCGGCTAGGCTCACGCTGTGGTGACGTCACCCACACCTCAGTACCTTCACACAAAAACGGTGTACTTTCTGCTCAAGCCAAGTCTGCTGCAGGTCGGGTGACTCTCCCGGGAACAGTCTTCTATGCAGCAGCCGGCTGCCCCCCTTGAGCCGCCTCGTCTGAGACGTGTGTTCCTGGGGCGGCGGCTGGAGGGTCCTGGACGAGGAGTTGGAAAGCGGCCCCGAGGGGAGGCAGGGGCTCCCGCGCACGGCTGGACCAGAGCTGGTCTCCAGGCCCCGCCCGCGCCCAGGCCCCGCGAGGCTGCCGCGCGTCTGGAAGGAGGCCATCCCAGAGCAGCGGGCAGCTCGGCGCTCTGCACACCGCTCGGCTCTCAGCCCACCTGCGACGGCGGCAAGAAGCTGGCCCTGCACCCACAAGGTTCCCGTCACTGGTTGGAGAAAAGCCTCTGGAGGTAAGGAGCCGGTGTACCTCGCTCAGTCTCGACAAACGGAGGAAGGCTTGCTGTGCGGAGGTGCTCTGTGAAGGCTGTTAGGGTCAAACAGCCCTCTGCCCACCCCTCACCCGCTCCATCACTGTGGCCTCACGCAGCTCCTGTTCCTCCGTACACGGGCCGTGTCCCCTCGTCTCACCTTCGCACGCACGTCCCTCCCCTGCACGCTCAGGTCCCAGTATTCACCTGTCTTGCTCCCTCACTTTAAATCTTTGCCCAAGTGTCACCACCTTAGAAAAGACTCTCCTTGACCCCCCCTATCTCAAATAGCATCTCTTACTGCTGTCAGTCCATTTCCTCCGCTTTCCTATGCTATAGATGTACATCCGTGTCTCCTCTAGAACGTGCACTCCGAGAGGACAAGGACTTTGTTCACTATGATATTCTCGCGCCGTAAACAGTGCTGTAGCAGAATATGTGCCTCGACGCCTATTGAACGAAGGACCGATGGGTGCCTGTCCTCCATGGTAATGCAATGCAACATGTGAGCTCAGAAGCCTTAGTCTGGACAGTGGAATATAACCGGTGAGCTGTCCTCAGCGGCAAGAATGGACCCAACCTCGTTTGCTTTGCTTTCATGTGTTACAAGCACGTTTGGACTAGTAGTGTTGCTTGATGGCCCCCAAAGGAAAGCAAGTTAGCTTAAGTTATTTCAACTTCAACTGCCAGAGTCACTAGATGCTACCAGCATTCGTCAGAAAATCTCTTTTAAAGGAGGTCAGATTTGAAAATCGCTTGCAAGGTAGTGAAGGGGAGTTACTTGGAAGAGAGGAATGGAGATGTTCTAAGTGTGCAGGAGAGACTTCCCTCCCACTTTCACATCCACCCTACAAAGCATTTTAGAGTGTGGGCCTGAGAAGATGTAACGAACCCTTTTCCTCAAGGCCACGGCAACTTTGGAAAAGAAGGAAAAATCAAGGTTTGAATCGTTTTCAACAAACATACAGGGTAACCTATGTACCAAGGGATGAGAGCCTCCAGAAACATAAATAGGTGAGCCCCTGAGTGACCCACTTCTCTAAGTTACAGGAGCTTAAAGGGGATAGAAAGTATAGGAAACCATCTCACTGATGTTACTTGGACCCTACAGGTTAAAGTCGCTGGCCCCCCGGAACTCTCTGAAAGGAGCTGCCCTGGCTCTGGATTTCACTGTTGCCTGGCCCCTCCTGATGTAGGAACCACCCTTTTTCTTGGTGCCCCTCTCCATGCCACTTAGCAAGTGTTTTATACTGATTAATGGGGGGAAATGGTTCTCTTCCTCCCAGAGTTTATGATGGTTAGGGTGCCAAAGGCTATCTTAACTCTTAAATAAACCTAGAACACGTAGGAATAGCTTCTAGTCAAAAGCAGCCAATGTTGGACTTGAAAAAATTTTTGCTACCCTAATATGAGTATTCCAGGATAGTGTATGAATGTTGTCAAACCCAAATTCGTGTGCCTGGTGCACAGTGAGGCCAAACAAACCGAAACATCAGTTTGGAGCAGAGAAAGGTTTTTTGCAGGAGCAGGCAAGGAGAAAGGGTGGCTCATGCTCAGAAAGCTCAAGTTTTCAGGGAAGAGTTTTTATGGGCAAAATTTGTGGGGAGCTCTGCAGGGTGTATGACCTCCCTCTGATTGGTTGGTGGGGAGGTCACAGGGCGGTGATCCAGGAATCTCAATCATCAGCCTTCTGGTTGCAACCAGTCCGCTCAGTCTGAAGTTACCATCCTCCACCTGGGTGGAGGCCTTCATTACTGTAGAAGCACTCAGAGATTGTTATATATTGTTCTGTATATCCCTTGAGGAGGAACCAG